CATGAATAATAAGCATTCATTTTAATTTGAGCAGGTTCCAAGTGTCTATAATAAATGGAGGTATATCTGTTTGAAAAAGAAAGCTGGACTTTGGGGCAAGTATAAACAGTTCACATAACTGTAACACATGACATGATTTTTGAGCAGTTTATTTTTAAAATACCAAATTAAAAGTACCAAATGAAAACCAAAATGTTGACCAATGAATAATAACTTAGAGGTGGGAGAGGAAATGAATAAATAGTAAGCTAGTGTTTCAATATAATATTATGTTACTTTATTTTGGCTAGATTTTCTTAAATTACCTTTCTTCCCTTTCTCTTCATTGTTTTTTATTCAATACTGGGGTTGGAACCAGGGGCTCACACAGTCTGCCAGTAAACTGTATTCCCAGTCACACTCCTACTGCCTGCTTTTTTTGTGTGATAGTGTCTGGCTAAGTTGCCCTGATTAGCTTCAGACTCACAGACCTACTTCTAGCCTCCTGACTAGCTGGAACTGCAGGTGTGTGCCACCATCCCTGGTTTAATTTTTTAATGTATTACATAGCCTTGTTCTATAAACAGATGTACCATTTGTACAAAGTACCACTCTTTAAATATTGAACAGAGTCATCTAGGTATAAAATGAAGACCAGAGGTTATATGATCTGAGATGTTATCCTGATGGACCATGTGATGGCTTATATCTACATGTCTCCTCAAAGCCTCATGTGCTCCTAGTGGGGCTTTTTGGAGCTGACTGGATCTTAGGGAGTATGATACTGGTAGTAAGGGTGTGTGATACTAAATTAGTATAGTATTGGGCTAGTATTAATGACTAGAATTAGCATAGTTCTGGGTGTGACTGAATGAATTCACTGAAGACAGAAGCCCACCCTGGGTGTGGGTGGCTCTACCCAGAAGGCTTGCAGTCTGGGTGGAAAAAAAGGAAAAGGCTGCTTGCTGATGCTGCTTGCTGCCTTCTACCTGCCAGGCCATGAATTTTTTCTCCTCTGATATGCCCCTCTGCTACGCCGTCCATCTTGCCTTGGAGCCAGTGGACTATGGACTGAACCCTCTACAAACTGTGCACTGACAAACCTTTCCTCCTTTTAACTTGTGGGTCTTGGGTATTTTGCCTCAGCAACAAGAAAAGGAATTAAGGCAGACCGTTACAGCTGTGTGGTTGCATTCAACTTGGAACTTGCTAGACTTCTTTTAAATAGAAGGTAGTATATATGCATTCTTTCAAGAGTGTTTGGTGAACAAGTACCAGTACTCAAGATGCTTCATCTATGATAGGAAACAAATCATTGTATTATTGTATAATATTACAGTGGAAGAAAGAAAATAAATTTTGAAGACATACTAGAATAGGTGTCTGATTAGACTGGGAATGGTTAGGAAAATTTTCCCTAGAGGAAATAATGCCTAACATAACATGTGCTGCCTTTCTCAGAAACAAAATTTGTTTAACTAAACATAGGTCTGACAGAAAAATATTATTGAAAGAGTATCTTAGAGCTACATAGTATAAAGTTGTAATGTCTGGCTGTGTCGTTGGGGCTTTATATGTAGACAAGCATTAAAAATGTTTGAGTGAGGGACTTAGTCCTGTCCACTATTGTACAAGCACAATTTATACCGGCTAAATTTGTATAAAGATATGATTGCATATGCTTTCTCTGGTGCTTTGTCAACTGTTACTTAGACGTACATAAAATCTCTTTGATAGATGTGTGCACAGTTTCTTGTACTACCCCCCAAAACACCTGATTCTTTTTTTTTTTCTTTTTGTAATTTTAGCAGTAGATATAACAAATGGAGATTTGTTACTATAGAACAACCATGGAGTCTAGCTAGTTTCTTCAGTTACCAATATATGTAAGAGTAAGTTCAGCCGGGCATGGTGGTGCACACCTGTAATCCCAGCACTCAGGAGGCTGAGGCAGGAGGATCGTTGTGAGTTCGAGACCAGCCTGGGCTGCAGAGTGAGCTCAAGGCCAGCCTGAACTGCATAGCGAGACCCTGTCTCAAAAAGACCAAAAAAAAAAAAAAGTAACTTCAGCATTTCTTATAACTTTAAAGCAGTTCTTAGAGTGAAAAAATCATTTTCATTTGATAAGTTTTTAAATTTCCTTTTGTTGACTGGAGAGAATATTAACAAGAAGTTCTAGTGAGTCCTATTTTGAAATATATTTCACTGTTAAGACAAGAGTTTGGCACATACACTGGTAACTATGTGTTTGCTATTACTTAACCTATAAGGAAAACTAGAGAGAAAAAATTAGCAAACAAGAACTTAAAATGCAGGTTTAAGGAAACAGGTAAAATCTATGGAAGACAGCAAAGTATTTCTCTTAATTTCTAAATGAAAAAAAAGAGTTTATAAAACAAGACGTATCAAGGTTAAATTCTGCTTTGACATATATTTTTGTGACATTTGCAAATTATTTGTAAGGATTTCTGGTGGATTTTGTTTTTTGAGGTTTTTTTATTGTTGTTAAAATCTCCAAGTTTCTTTGAAGATTAAATGATTGGAAATTCTATTTTACTAAGCTTTGACTCAATTTTTTTAAGCTCTTAGTATGTTTTAAACATTGATCTAAGCACTATACAGGTGATATCATCATAACACTCATTTTGTGACTGTAAAAACTGCAGCATAAACCAGCGTAAGCCATGGTGGTGCATGCCTGTAATCCTGGCACTTGGGAGGCTGAAGCAGGAGGATCGCCATGAGTTCAAGGCCAGCAGGGGCTACAGACTGAACTGGAAGCCAACCTGAATTACTCTGGGACCATCTTAAAAAAAAAAAAAAAAAAAAGTAAAAAGTGTAGCATAGATACATTAAGTATGAAATCAAGACTATATCTGTAAGTAATAGCCATTTAACCCAGGCATTCTGAACCCAGAGCCCAGTCTCTTGACTATAGTTATTTCTTCTGTTCTTATAATCTTTATCAAAACTCAGAACATTCTTTTCTGTAATAACACTGGTAGGTATTACAATATTTTTTACAACCCCACAGACTTACATCAGTGGATATTTCAATGTTCTGGTACAACCTACTGTAGTATACAAGAATTCATTATATAGTGTATCTATCAAATTGTAATCTTGCCAGGAGTGGTGGTACATTCCTATAATCCCAGCACTAGGGAGGCTGCGACAGGAGGATCGCTGCAAGTTCCAGACCAGTCTGAGCTACGAAGTGAGCTCAAAGCCAGCCTGAGCTGCATAGCAAGACCTTGTCTCAAAAAGACCAAAAAAAAGAAAAAAAAGGTAATCTAACTTTTATGTTCCCAAGGCAAAGAACTTTACAGTTTTAAGGCAAACCATTTAATTGTTAGATAACCCAAACTGTAAGGAATTTCACTTTTATCTTGTGATGCATCTCTTGCCTACAGTAACTGAGATAGTAAGTGTACAGTTTTTATTTCATTTCAAGAAAAAGGTTTAAATTTTGAGCAGTAATCATTTCTCCCTTCATTTTAGGCCAAACAACTATTTCATAGACAACACATTTCTTTCTTTTTTTTTTTTCTTTGTCTTTTTGAAACAGGGTCTCGCTATGCAGTTCAGGCTGGCCTTGAGCTCACTTTGTAGCCCAAACTGGTCTCGAACTGGCAACAATCCTGCTGTCTCAGCCTGCCAAGTGCTGGGATTACAGATGTGCACCACCACACCCAGCAAACAACACATTTCTATAGTCTTTTTCAGCTAATGCATTCTACGCTGCGTCTAGTCCAGTTGTTTTTACAATGTGCTTACTATAACTGTGTGCTAGGTTCTATATAATTGCAAGACTCTTAAACAGTATCATTTATATAAAAAAGAAAAAACGAAAATGTTCCCAGATCTACCCCGTTTATTATAATAGATTCAACAGAAATAAGCTCACACTTCCTACTTGAGTACAGTCGGTATTTATTGAATATTTACCATGCACCACACCCTTTTCTAAGCTCTTTGCACATAACTTATTTAATTTTCACAATACCCTTGTGAGGTACATACTGTTTGCCACTATTTTAACAGATGAAGGCAATGAGGCATAGAGCTGTTAGGTAACTTACCTTGTGTACCTACATAATTTTTTAAAAGAATACAAAACCAAATTTGAAATATGTTTCTTAAAATAGATTAATTACTCAATCTTACCTTCATAGAAGAAAAGGAAACCCTTAGCACAAAGGTTAAGCAACTTTTTAATGATCACCTGGTTACTTAGCATCTAAAACAGGTTTAGTATCTTGATATTCTAACTTCGTACAAGATGGAGAGGTAGTGTAGATAAAAACAACATAATGAACTTCAATATTTAGTTACACAATACAATTATTAGGAGTGAATTACTCAAAATAATTCAGTGATCCATTTTGAAGTTTGTTTTTTATATATAAGCAACATGGTATTCTTCATGAGATGTGACAGACTTGAGTGCTCCCCTTTACCTTCCTACCAACAGTCTTTATCAGTCGCTCAGTGTCTCTGAAACATTTTCCAGTGTGGTTGAATATCTTCATAGTGGACAACAAAATGTGAAGGTTTGTATGCTTGTGCTTAAGTTATGAGTAACTGATGCAAGCACTGTATTTCAAGAACTATTAATTCTGTTTATCAAGAATTACCGTAATAGAATTTCTGAACATTTGAATATACTTTGTTTTCTACCTAATCAGGTAACAAGTAGGGAATTTAATTGCTGAATAAACTATTCAAATTGCTTTAATTTAATTTAGAAATTGTAATGTTAGAAGGACCTTGAACAATCACCTAATTCAATTGCAGACTATTTACTTCTGTAAGAATTGGAATCTATCCTAGGAGGTGGTCCTGCAACTCAAATACTGCCTTTGCTTGGATTGATTGAACTTTTGTACTATCTGTAAGCATAAGGAGATTCCACTTAGGTGACTTGGCTCCTTTTGACCCCTGTTAGTCTTTAAAAATTTTAACTTCCAGTTCGAAGCAGCAGTTGATCCCAGTAAGTAACTTTAACACTTCATTTACAGATTGTCCAAGGACTCCAGATACTCCACATAGTGACACTCGTTGTTCTACTAGCAACAATAGATTGATGGCCTTACAAAAACAATTAGATATAGAACTTAAAGTAAAACAAGGTGCAGAAAACATGATACAGATGTATTCAAATGGCTCTTCAAAGGTAAGTACAATAAACAAAAGTCAAGTCTTCCTTGTTTGCAGGGTCCATTCTTGTGAGTTCATCTACTTGCTGAAGTTATAATTTGTAACCTTACTGTGGATGTTGGTAATAGTTTGCAAGTCATTGGTGGACAAGTGCAGAAGGGTGAGAATTTAAGTCATCTGGTACACAATTTCTGCTAAGCTATACAGTAGTGTATTGCCCTCTCAAACTGTCATATTATAAAAAGATACTGTTTTTGAGATCCATATATGACACATTTGTTAGTAATTTCAGTGTTTAAACAGTAAATTAGGATTTCTGAAACCATCTTAGTTAGCTTCATAATTGGAAAGTATAGACGAAAAAAAGTTTTCTCAAAAGCAGTGTTTTAAAAATTATTCCTACCAAAATCCAATCAATCAAAAATTTGATGGTATGATTAAAGGGTATATCATTTTCTGTATCTGCACCATTTCTGTGAATCTAAAATTATTTTAAGACAAAATGGTTGTTTAAAAACTTTAGGCTGTAGTGGGCTTTTCATGACCACATACAGATTTTTAGGAAAAGGAAGTGAAAAGATAGAACATTTAGGTATCAATGATTACCTGGCTTACACCTGTACATGCTTGGATTCCCTGTATTGGGATGTAAATCCCCTGTGAAAATTAGTGTTATGGGGAGCTGTATTTAACTAATGAAAATCTTTGTTTAATGTGGCAGAAAAAATGTTGGAAACCACTGAAGTTGTTTTGACATAAGGTTCTATGGTTTTAACGATTCTTAAAACCACTTTTGAGATAAATGTTTCTATGATGAAAACCTACCTTCCCACTCTCAATTCTTTTTTTTTTTTTTTTTTTTCTTTCTTGGTGTATGTGTCTTTTTGAGATAGGGTTTCACTATGCCGTTCAGGCTGACCTTGAACTCAGTTCTGCCTGCCTCAGCCTCCTAAGGGCTGGGATTACAGGCATGCACCACCACGCCTAGCCTCAGTTCTTTTAGTTGAAAGATTTTTACCTTTGTAAATCAGTGTTTTGTCATATCTTCATAAATATGTCTTAAATAATTTGAAAATAAAAGTTGTACTGTATTTAGCAGGGGAAAGAATTTGAAATCTGAGTGGGAAAGATCATAAAGTCATACATCATAGTTACCCACCCTAAATTAAAATTTGGGAAGATACTGAAAAATAAAAATATATTTACATTAAAACTAAAATTGTTAAGATTAATTGTAAAAGCTAGATTTTTATGTCATGTTTCAAAAGGGTTTGGGAGAGGAGTTTGTTGCTGCTGCTGCTGTTTTTTAATTTATGTTTTCCTGAAATTTATTAATCCTAAAATAGTCCATGAAGGCCTTGAACTCACTATGTAGCCCAGGCTGGTCTCAAACTTGCAATCTTCCTGCCTCAGTTGAATGCTAGTATTACAGACATGGCTACCACACCTGGCTTTTATTATTTCCAGAGAAGTTTTTTTTTTTTTTTATAAGTATGATTTAAACACTTATTATTGGATGGCAGAGTTATTTTCTGTGCTTTTTTTTTTTAATATTGACCTTTACTTTTGGAGATTTTTTAGTTTTATCAAATTTTTGGACTTTTTTTCCAGTATTTTTTTTTTTTAGCAAAACTGTTACTGGAATTGTGGTTGTAATACTTGACACTGTTTTAAAATTAAGCCATTTACTGCCCTTTCTAGTAAGGTTTTTTAAAATCTGAGATTCACAGATTACTTTGAGGGATTTGAGAACTCTGAAGTTCTTTGACAGGTGAGTGTGTATACTTATAACTGGATGGAGGAGAGTAGGTTTCACTGTAGAGTAGTCTAATCCCTGCAAGATTAACAACCACTGCCCTAGGTTGGACAGAGTTACAGATGCACTAAAAGTCAAAAAAATAAAAAAATCCAACAAATACATAAAGTTAAAGTAACTACAGGTCCAAAATGAATAGGGTTGTGACATCCTGCTAAAGTAAATACATAATTTTCCAGTAGCTTTTTGTTTTTAAGGAGGAGGTAGAAAACTTGACAAGTACTGAGTGGCGGTCCAAAGCCTAGCAGAGCTCGCTGTAGGCTCTGAGGTGGCACTGCCAGTTGTTTCTGTCTTCAGTTTTCATTTCTCATCTTTAAACTCCTTAAAGGGAGAGTTCACCTTTAAGAGATAAAGATTTTAATTGAAATTATCTGGGATATTCATTAAGGGTTTAACAGTTTAATAGACATGCTAGGCTCTGGGGTATAAATGTAACAGTGTCTTATCCATAATTGCTACTCAGCAGATAATATCCTGCTTTGGGAGACCCACTATCTAAAATAAGATACATGTGTGTAATTGTTTGAGTTACTTTGGAAACACCCTGACTAAAGACCACAGAGGTGCCAGAAGGAATCACTTAAGTCTTAATATGAGATTTGAAAGATGATTTGACGTTTAAAAAGGAATTACGTTCTAGGGATGATGATGTGGGTAAACCCAGTATATGCACAGTAAGCAACTGGGATACCATGGCTTATTCTAAGAAATGGAAGTGATTCGGTTTGGCTATACCACAAGTTCTAAGCGTAGTTTCTACCTAATGTAAGAGTAGATAGAATGCACATAATATTTTCTCAAAATTTTTATTAGACTTATACATTATCCAGATTGATAGTTTTCATTTTGGCAAACACTTCTAATATTAACAATTATTAACTCTAAGCCTGGTGTATTGGTGCATGCCTGAAATTCCAGCATTCAGGAGGCCAAAGCAGGCTTGCCACACATTTTGAGTTTGAGGCCAGCCTGAACTACACAGCTTGTTTTCTGTCTCAGGAAACAAAACAAAACAAAACCCCTCCTGTTAACTTTAGCACTCATTTTTAATGAAAGTCTATGGCTTTATAGAACAACAAATTTGAAAAGCCAGAGAGAGATAATTTGATTGGCAAAATTTGTATAGTTTACTGCAGCAGGACTTTTCCTCCCTGATCTGTTAAATGGTTAAGGCATAGCATGAAATGTAGCATAACTAAAAGACAAACAAGATTGTCCAGTACAAAATTAACTAGTTAGGATTCTTTCTTATAAAATATATGGAGCTGCCGAAAGACTTTTAGCAAGGGAAATAGATTTAAAGTTAGAAAGTTCACATCGATCCTCAATTTATAGGGGACTCACAAGGAGGAGCAAATTGGATGTGTACATAAATTGGATGTGTACAATATAGCCACAGTTGTCCTTTCCATATGCTGGACATGATGGCTCATGCCTGTAATCCTAGCTCTTGGGTGGCTGAGGCAGGATCACTGAGTTCAAGGCCAGCCTGGGCTATAGAGTGAGACCCTGTCTCAAAAAAAATTTTTTTTTAATTTGTCATATTATCTTCAGCCTTCTGTTCAAAAACCTTTGATGGTTAATCTTGATTTTCAGTTTGCTTGGCTTGAGAGATACTTAGCAAAGTAATAAAGCACACGCTGGGTAGGTCATGAAGGCATGACCCTGGGGATATCATCTGGTCCCTGGCCTCTTTCTCTTGGGTTCTTCTTACTTTCTCACCACTTCTGGCTACCCCTGGTGAACAGCTTTCCTTTGACATGGCCCTCTGCCATGATGTTTTTGCCTTGGAGCCAGCTGACCACGAACTGAAACTTCTGAAACTGTGAGCTAAAATAAACCTTTTCTCCCTTAAGTTGTGTATGTCAAGTATTTTGTCCCAGCAGTTGAAAGCTAATGTAGTTCCCCAATGGATTTGTGTTGGAGTTAGAATAAAATCCAGTCTTTCATCTGACTCTGTAAAGCCACACATGATTTACCCCTGGCTATTTTCTAATCTCATCTTCTAAAAATGACTTGCTACTGTCATTACACTCTAGCTACACTGGCTATTTGCTGTTCTTTAAATATAACAAGCACTCTGACCTCAGGCTTGTTACTGCTGTACTGTTGTCTAAATATTTCTTCACAATATTTTCATGGCTTTTTCTCACTTCATTAATGTCTGTGTTTGGTAATTACCATCTCAGTTAAGTCTTCACTGCTATTTTAAGTAATCCTTGTCTTCTTGCCCCTCTACTATATCATGTGACCAATTTGTTTGTCATCTGTTTTCAACATTAAATGTAGATCTCATGTAGGCCATTGATTTCATGCCTTAGCCTCCAAGACCACAAGTGTGTGCCACCGTACCTGTTGCCAGTGAATGACGTTGTCTTGGTATCACTGTATCTCCAGTAATTACAAGGCCAGGCGTGGTGGCGCACGCCTGTAATCCCAGCACTTGTCTGAGGCAGGAGGATCATTGCGAGTTTGAGACCAGCTTGCGCTACAAAATGAGCTCAAGGCCAGCCTGAACTGTATAGCGAGACAATTAGAACAATATTTAGTACATTGAGATATTTTAGTATCATTTATTTATGAATAAATATTATTTAATAACAATAAACACTAATATTTATAAATAATATTTACTATTTATACTAAAATATCTCAGTGTACTAAATACTGTTCTAATGGTCTTGCTAATACTGCTGTACCATTTATTACCACTTATCTTCTGTTGACATGAAATTTATGCCTTGTTCTTTTTCTTATTTTGGATTTGTATGTGCTATAATTATTTTCATTTTCTCCCTTACATATTAAAGACATTTTGGTTATTAATGCAATGGTCTGAGGAATGAGATACAGTGATTTTACCCTGCCTGCTTCCTAGGGCGTAGTATATCTTGCATTTCTTCACTGGGCATTTGTGCCTCTTAGCAGCACCATTGATTTTTTTACTGCAATCTCTGAGCACTTGATGAGGCATGTTGAAGAAATGTCTCCTGTTCATATGTTCAGATAACAAATGAAGCTATTATTATAATCTAGGGTTTTTTCTAGCATTTTGTACCATTTCTTGTAGCATTTTTGCTGACAAGATTTCTTATGCTTTTTTCTCATTCGAATATGCCTATCCATCTGGGTTCTTCAACCCCCAATCCTCCAGTCATTCTTAAGTTTTATTGCGATCTAATTTATGTACATAAGTGTACATAAATATTAGACACACACACACATATACCATCACCACAGTCAGGATACTTGCCCTTCTGTGGGTTTTTGGGGGTTGTTACTGTTGTTTGGTTTGGGGCAGTTCCGTGTATGTATGGGTGCCTCTGTGTGTGTTTATGTGTGTTAAGAACACATGAGAAGTACTCCAATGTACACTAACAGCTGAGAAAAACTTTCTGGTACATAGGTAAATAGCAGTGTCTCTTCTATAACCATCAGTAGAGCAGCATCCTGACTACTTTTTGCATTTTTACTGGAACTGATAATGTTTAACACATGGAAAGTAAGCCATAAATATGGGATGGGAACACGAAGACAATGATTGGCTCGTTTATTTGAAAGTTGTGTGTGAGAGATGTCCCAGTATCCCACTGTGGAGTAATGGTTCATAACTTAAAAATATCGTAAAATTTGTAGTTTTGCTGACATTATACATTCCAGGTATAATTATGATGCATTATAGCATGATATGGTGATTGAACCATATGAAATTACTGTTTTGTAGTTCAAAATCAGTTAAATATTGACATTTTTATGTGGTTCAGCAAACATATGTAAAAGTCTTTCCAAAATCTTTATCAACATAAAAGTCAGCAATTCTTAAATAGGTAAACCATTTTGTATATTTTGAGTCCACTTTATCTCCTGCTTTCTACATATCAGGTGCTCAATAAAAGAAAATTCCTTGAATGCCTGAAAGCATAAAACTGACGATAAAAATTGATTAAATGCTGGAAAGCATAGAACTGATATGTAGTATCTGCACATTGCCCTTGACATAAAATCCCAAGTCAGTTCTAAGAACTTCCATCATATTTTGACATTTGTATACATCCTGCAGAAATCTGTTGGGGGGAAATTCACTTTTACACTTGATCTTAGGCAAAAGACTGAGAAACGATGGGGAAATTCACTTTTTAAGTGAAATACCAATGCTATTCTTTGCATCCTGAATTCAAATAGTAAAAGAAGTATTTCTAAAGAAGTAATGTCAAAACTACTGTTATTTCATAAAGCAATAAAATAATAAAAGTTGTAGCTTAATTGAAAAGCATAGTATTATATAGTTCTCTTAATGTTTATATTTTTACATTAGAACTTTACTGAAATAAGACAGTTATTCTTCTATTGTCTGAAGAGATAATGTTTTAAAGTCAGGTAGTATTATCTAATGCTGGTAAGAGCTCTGTATTTTACAAAGTAGTATCCCCTTTTACATAATTTCTGCAAAAAACCTAAGATTTTCAGAAAATAGCCAGTTTTACATCTACTGCAATATGGGCTCATACCTATCTAATTATAAAATATATTTATTCCATTAAATTGCAAATTTTGGAATACTAAGTTTTTCTCTTACTCAGATAGTTATTTTAAATCTTTATCTGATGTTCCTTATACTGGATAGATGGAAGAATTACTGTAAGTAATTTAAGTTTGGAGGATGAAAAAATTTGAAAGGGGAATATTTATTCTTAATTTTTGTTCATGTTTACAGTACATTATGATTATGTTCATCATGGAGATTTGGTACATGTACATAACACATCTTAATTCTTTTTTATGTGCCCTTTCTCCTGCCCAGAAGGGAAACATTTATAAAAGTATATATAATATGTCATATGCAAACAGAGTTGAAGCTAATATCTTTATTGAGGAAAATGTGTATAGTATGTGTTTATGTGTATTTCATATTGTAAATTGATACCTAAAAAATTCAGTAAACTATTCTAGCCTGTTCTTGGTGTAAAACCTAAATATTTCATTACAGAGTAAAATCTGACTACAAGCTCCTTTTTTAGTGACTGACTTTAGCCATTAAGAAAGAAATGGAAGAAAAACTTCGTAAGTTTGCAATTGTATTTTCCTTTGTGGTATATTAATACAAATTTTGTATTTAGCAGACTGTGTTACAGCTCACTTTTCTTTAGTTATTTAAAAATAAACTTACCACTCCACCATTCATATCTCCATCCCCTTTTGTATAGTATCATATAGTACATCTGAGTGTTTGATTTATTAAAATCATGCTGCCCAAATAATGCTTATCTCAGGTTTTGGTCTTGAGTTGCCTACAATATAGAGGTTGATTACATGCTATTTTATTTCCAAGTTAAGGGGGGGGGGGAAATATATATATATATTATATCCAACAAGAGTAGTATTTGGCAGTAAATAAGTGTTCAGTAAATTTTAAAAAATAGTTTTATTGATAAAAGTAAAGATGCTTAAATAATATGTAAAGATTGACCTTCCTTGTGCATAAGTACTTGCTAACTTTGATGCTTACTTTCATCTATTATTTATGTGTGGATATGCACTTTTGACAACTATTGCAATTCTGAAAACCAGAGATAAAATTAGTTCCCAGTACATGGTAAAATTTCTATATTTTCAAGGCTTGCCGTAACAAATTATCACAAATTTTGTGTTTTAAAACAACACAATAAAGAAAGATAAACTTGAGTCAACTGTGGGGAAATGGATGCACCTTGAGACTGCAATGTTAAGTGAACTAAATCAAACACACAGGCTTAAAATCACATGGTGTCTCTTATGAGAAACCCAAAATATAAATAATGACCAAAATAAAAGATAACAGGAAGTAGGGAGGAGGAGAGAAAAGATGAGAAAAGGAATTAAAATGTGTTACATACACGTCCAATTCCACACAAAGAATGTAACTGTCACATAGTGCAAACATGTACCAATAAAAATTAAACAAATTTATTTATTACAGTTTTTGAAGTTGTTTTGTCTGAAGTAGATCTCACTAAGCTACAGTCAAGGTATTGCCAGGGCTGTGTGCCCTTCTGGAGGGTTCTGAGGATCATGTTTCCTTGTCCTTTGTGTCTTTGGGAGCCCGTCTCCCTTCTCTGGCTCTTGATCCCCTTTCTGTCTTCCAAGCCAGCCAGTAGTGGGGCCAGTTTTCCTCTCCGCATGGCACTCTAATGTCTTCTTCTTCCCTCTTGCAGTGTGAGGACCCTTTGAGTGCACTGGTCCTACATCTGTAATCCAGGGTAATCTCTGTATTTCAAGGTCAGGCGACTAACAGTCTTAATTTCCATTTGTACCTTAAATCCCCTTTGTGTGGAAGGAGACATTGACAAGGTTTTGGGGTTGGAAGGTGGATATCTCTGGGTGAGCCACTATTGAGCTTACTGAGGGTCCTCTGTCATTCGCATTCACTGTTAATGGAACTAAATAAAGGTGTAGTGGAAACAGTATTTCACTTGATTTACAACCTTCGCTGAGATCTTTTGATTTTTTGAGAAAGGGTCTCATTATGTAATTCAGTCTCTCCTTGCGCTCACTATCTGGCCCAGGCAGTAGTCCTGCTTCCCAAGTGCTGGCTGTCTTGAAATTTTAAGAGATGATAGAAGTTTAACTCTCTCTTCAGCTTCGTTGAGGTTTCTTATTTTTGATATTCAAAAGATTATTTAAACATGCTACTTTATATTCTTGTCTTTTTTTAAAACAGAATTCCAGTGAACACAAATACTGTCTGTGATTAACTATGTTTTAAATTTGCCTTCGTGTGTGAATTCCCTGAAATTTTAGCTGTTGTAATAGAAAAAGAGGCATCCAAATGTTTTAGACTTATTCCAGAGGTATCCATTACGTGCTTCTGAGCCAGAGTTACTGATCAGAATAAGGGAGAATTCATTATATTTTGTTTTTCTAAAGCAAAGGCAAGAGAAAATGACTAAGTTTGGATTTGGTTTGTCTTTAAACAGTAATAAGATTCAATCAACCTTCATTACCTATCAACAGATAAGTAAAGAAATTGTGTAGTACACATATGACATATACAGTGAAATGTTATTCAGTCTTCAAATAGGAGATACTGTCATTTGTTGTAATATGGAAGAATCTGAAGGATATCATGCAAAATGAAATAAACCAAATAAAGAAATAAAAGTACTGTGTGATTGTACTTACATGTGGAATATTAAAAACTAAAGTTGAATAAATAGAAACAGTATAGAATTGTGATCACCAGGGGAATAGAAACAGTATAGAATTGTGATCACCAGGGGAAGGAGAAGAAAGGGAATAAGCAGGTTACCGGGTGAAAATTTACAATTAGGTAAGATGAGTAAGTGTGGAGATCTCATATGTGATATGAAGACTATAATATTGTATACTGAAAATTTGCTAAGAGTAGATCTCAGGTGCCCTTACTACACACATACATAAAGAGGGTTATTATGAAAGGTGAAAAATTTGTTTATAGTCAACATTTAAAAATTTGTAGTATACATATATATATATATGTATTCCTTTTATATATGTATATATCAAGCATTGTTTTGCATGCCTCGGGATTATATATATATGGGAGGGGAAGACTCTATTGAAAACATGTATACCCACTTCTACAGTTGGCCATACTAAGAAATGTCTGAATCTAATGGCCATCCCTTTGACCATCTCTTGTAATTATAGAGGCCAAAGGTAACTTGTATTAATCTTATGATTTCTCAATACATTTAGCATTAAGAAATTTATGCAAGTTTTTCTTTTCCTGATGTATATACTTTTTGGGGACAGACTGTCTATATATTTATTTAATTTTAAAAACAACGATAAGGTTTACTTGTTTTTTCTCAGATTATCTTACCTAATGGGGTTGTTTTTCTCAGTTATTTTAATGTAAGTTTGATGGTTTTGTTGTGGGTAAAAGTATCTGAAGATTACATATTATATTATAGTTTTTTTAACTCTGTTTTTCACTTGCTGATACATCAGATGATCTATTTAAAAGATGTGAAAGTGTTTTTTTCAAACTTACTTTTAATAGGATCGGAAACTCCATGGTACTGCTCAGCAACTGCTCCAGGACAGCAAGACAAAAATAGAAGTCATACGAATGCAGATTCTTCAGGCAGTCCAGACCAACGAATTAGCTTTTGATAATGGTGATGGAATAGACATAAACTGTCAATATTCTTTTATGAGCATAGAGTGCTAACTCAGTCTTACATGGGAAAGAGTGCTTCAAATTAAGAGACAGTGTTATTATTTTGTTTTATCTTAAGTATTATGCATTGAGATTTTGGCCTTTATATTTCAAGAAGGTACTAATCAAGAATATATTTCTTAGCTGGGTGTGGCAGTGCATGTCAGTACTCTAGGAGACTGAGGCAGAAGATCACAAGTTCAGGCCCACTCTGGGCAACTTAGCAATTTAGTGAGACCTTGTTTCAAAATTTAACAAGTAGAGAAGGTCTGGCAACGTAGCTCAATGCAGAGGCCCTGGGTTCAATTCCCAGTACCACAAAAAAACAAAAGAAAAAGAACGTGTCTTTATTTTACTGATATGGGAGAGACAGAGTGTGTGAAAGAGAGTGAGTATGTATGTGTTCATTTCTAGAGATTGAAGCCAGGGCCTCCCTCACCCATATTAGGCAAGCACTCTACTGCTGAGCTATGTCCCTAGCCCTTTTAAATTTTTTTATTTAGAGAACGAGCTTTGCTAAATTTTCCACAAAGCTTTTGCCTCAGCCCCAAATTAGATTATAGATGTGAGCCACTACACTTGGCTATGTATTCATTTTAATAAACTTCTGATTGTTTTTTGAAAATCTATTACCTGTTTGAAAGTATTGTTTTGCCTTCCTGGTTGTATGGTTTCTTCTTGTTTTTTGGTTTGTTTTTTAATTCCAGAAGGAATCTTTACAGGTAGTTGACATAAGTAGTGCCAGAAACTATACTTGTCCCTCAGTGTCTTTGGGAGATTGGTTCCACGGGTACCAGAATCCATGGATACTCAAGTCCCTTATATAAAAGTATAAAATGGCCTGGTATTTTTATATAATATATGCACATCCTCACTTTTTAAATTACTTCTAGATTACCTGTAATATATAATGCAGTGTAAATGCTATGCAGATAGTTGTTGCACTGTATTGTTTGGGGAATATTGACAGTGAGAAATGTCAGTCAGAGAGGCCATTTTTTCCCCCAAACATTGCTAATACGGGAGTGGTCAGGTTGTCTTCTCCAGATATGAGAATCAACTGTGTTTTGGTCTCATGATAGCAGTATCTTGAGTTCTAAATTCTTCTTTGTAGATTTGTAACTTATGGCTAAAATGGAAGGCCTTATATTTCAGCCTGTGTCTATTTTTAAATCAGTATTTGTTGATTTAAGAACTTTTAATGTCATAGGGATTAATTTCTTTTCCTAGACTACATGTTAGAAAGTCAAATAAATGGTTCAAATAATGTTTGTTTCTTTTTTTCCCCACTCTAGCAAAACCTGTGATAAGCCCTCTTGAACTTCGGATGGAAGAATTAAGGCATCATTTTAGGATAGAGTTTGCAGTAGCAGAAGGTGCAAAGAATGTAATGAAATTACTTGGCTCAGGAAAAGTAACGGACAGAAAAGCACTTTCAGAAGTAATTTCAAATATTTTAGTTTATTAAATATATTATTTAAATAGTGTGCTTATTTAAATGACAATTATTCTTTCCCTTGGAAGGCTCAAGCAAGATTTAATGAATCAAGTCAAAAGTTGGATCTGCTAAAGTATTCATTAGAGCAAAGATTAAATGAACTTCCCAAGAATCATCCCAAAAGCAGTATTATTATTGAGGAGCTTTCACTTGTTACATCACCAACACTAAGTCCCCGGCAAAGTATGATATCCACGCAGAATCAATACAGTACACTGTCCAAACCAGCAGCCTTAACGGGTATGTAGTGTGAAGCTTTTGTTGTTGTTGTTGTTGTTGTTGTTGTTTGTTTGGGGGTGGCTGTATGTTTTGTCTGCATCTGGTTCTGGATTAATATAATAATGAGAACAAGCCGTTAGAGAAATGCAAATGAAAACAATGCTGAGATTCCATCTTATTACAGAAAGAATGGGTATCATCACAAGCTCGAAAAACAAGAAATGCTGGCAAGGTTTGCGGGGAAAAGAAAGCCTTTGTACAACCACTGTGGGTAATGAATACAGAGTTTCTCCAAAAAACTAAAACTAGAAATTCCATTTGACCTATATATATACTTGTTCTAAATAGCTTCTCCCAAGAGTTAAGGACATATTACAGTGATACATATATATACCCATGTTTATAACACACAATAGCTAAATCGTACAAAAAGTCTATTATCCATCAACAGATGAATGGATAAAGAAAATGTGGTAATATGTGCAATGGAGTACTATTTAGTCATGCAGAGTAAATTTGAGTCATTTATAGGAAAATGGATGCACCATGAATCTGTAATTTACATGAAGTAAATTTACATGAAGTAAATCAACACACAAGCTTAAATATTGCATAGTTTCTCTTATGAGAGTAAGTATAAGTAAAGAGCAAAATAAAGATAGACATTTTATAGAGGGAAGGGTAACCTAAAGATAGGAGAGGAGGGGAAGAGATAGTAAAAAGGACTAAGAAGCGATATGTGTGGGTATCAAAGCACAAAGGTCAGTGTATTCATTATATATCACAAACATGTACTAAGAAGAAAATACTTGAGGGGACAAAAAGTGTACATAGATTTCTAAAAATTATGGTAATTTTTATATACATAGTAGTTACTACTTTAACCATTTTACAGTGTTCAATCCAAAGCCGTTCAGTATATTTATAAGGTTGAGCAGCCATCACCATTATAGTTCCAGGCACTCCCAAGAAGGAAACCAGTGCACATTAACTACCCACCTACTCGCCTTCCTCCCACACCCTGGCCATCACTAATTGGTTTTTTGTCTCCATCTGATAGTTTTATTTAAATAAGATTACATAATCGGTGATCTGTTGCACCCAGTTTATTTTACTTAGTATACTGTTGTCAAGGTTCATTCACATTATAACATATTATTACTTTATTGCTTTTTATGGCTAATGTTCCATTTTATGGACATATACCACATTTTGTTAATCCATTTGTCAGGACTGCTTTTTGACTGACTACTTTTTGAATGATGTCTTTATGAACATTTGTATGCACATTTTTGAGTACCTCTTTTAAATTTTGGGCATTTTTTCTGAGGAGGTCACCTGGTTAGTTTTTATTTATCTAGGAATCTTTAATTTTCCCCACATTTTTGAATGATGATTTTGCTTTATATACAGTTCCTGGTTGGCAATTATGATTTTTTTCCCCTTCAGCACTTTAGAAGTGTCGTCCTACTCCTCTGCTTCTCCCTTGTGAGCCATATGTTACTTTTCTCATGCTCCTTTCTAAGCTCCTATATTTGACTTCTTATAATTTGACTATAATGTGTCTTAGAGTGGATCTCTTTGAGTTTATCCCGCTTAGAGACTTTGAGCTCCTTGATGTGCGGGTTCTTTCATCAGATTTGGTAATTTAGCCATTATTTGGCTAAATCAGCCTCTGCACCCTGGGGCAAAAATCTCACTAGGGCAAACATAAGGCAAAAAGCCTGGGTGGAAAAGCTAGCAAGTACAACGCTTTGGTGACCAAGGGGTTTTAGCCATTTTTAGCTAAAAAATTTGGTTTTTAGCCATTATTTCTTCAAATACTTATTCCCACTTTGAACCTTGCATTTTTCATATTTTTGATACATATATGGTCTCCCACATTTCATGTAGTATGTGTCCACTTCTCTTCACACTTTTTTTCTTTCTGCTCCTAAGACTGCATAATTCAACTGAACTACCTCTAGATCACTCTCTCGGTGGGGTTTTTATTTGTTTGTTTGGTTTGGTTTTGTTTGTTTACTTGGTTTTGCTGTTGAACCTTTTAGTAATTTGTTCTTCTTGCGTTACTGTGTTTTTCCTACTCCAGGAATTCCATTTAGCTCTGTTTTTTATAATTTCTATTGGTTTCTCGATATCTTATATATCTTTATTTGATGAGACATCATTCTCCTTCTTTCCTTTAGATCTTTGTCCATGGTTGCTTTTAAATTTTTGGGCATTTTTAAGACAATTGAGATAGTCTTTATCTCATAAGTTTTAAGGTCTTGACTTCCGGGACAGTATAATCTCTGGCTTTTCTCAGAATGTACTCCTTTGTTTCTTTGCTTGCTTCCTCATGTAAATACTCCTCTGCCCTAGGACTTCTTGTCACTGCTATCTGTTGAACATAGTTGATTTTTATAATGTATTTAGTCTCTGAAGTATCTTAGTGTCTTTCTCTCACTATCTTAATGGTCAAGTTGAGTTTTGTTTTGTTTTGTTTTGTTTTGTTTAAGACAAGGTCTCACTGTGTAGTTCAGGCTAGCCTTGAACTTACTATGTAGTGCAGACTGGCCTCAGACTCATGATCTTCCTGCCATGGCCTCCTGATTGCTAGAATTTCAGGCAAGGTATTGTTTTGACTACACCTTTCCTTTAATGCCTAAAAGGAGAAGCAAATTGATTCTCTAGTCTTTGCAGTATGGGTATGTTGGTCATAGTTTTCGCTCTTGCCCAGGCAGTTTACAGCTCTGCCTTTCGTGGTGAGCAGTTGGGGAGTTGACCCAAGAGGAGTGCTTAGGGCCCTGTCGGGTCTCTTCTGAGGGTGCCTCCCACTTCCACTTAGCCTTCTGGTTTCCCAGTAATAAGCAGAAGTTTTGTGAAACCCTTGGTCACCAAAGCGTTGTACTTGCTAGCTTTTCCACCCAGGCTTTTTGCCTTATGTTTGCCCTAGTGAGATTTTTGCCCCAGGCTGCAGGGGCTGATTTGTCACAATTTTGTCATATGTCAAATTCTCAACTGCTTCTCTGCCCTTAGAGATTTTCTGCTTAGGTGTAATAAGGAAAAGCCCTTGGTAGTAGTCCTTTAGGGATCTCTCAAGTAAAAAAAAGAGGCCACCAATTCTTTGGAAATGAGATCCTTCCATTTTCCTCTGGAGCTGAGAACCTACTCAGGAGTGCAGGCTGCCATCTTTAAGGGGGCCACTGAGAGCTGGGGAGGGGATGGGCAGTCATCTGGCAATGGCAAGTAACACCGCAAAGCTCTCGCCACTTTCATTGTTTTTTTACATTATTATTACTGTCTTCATCATCATCATCATCATCATCACCACCATTGTTACTGAGGTGGTCCTGGGGATCAAACCCAGGGTGCTATCACACTGAGCTATCCCCTGGCCCTTTATTTTTTGAGACAAGATCCTCACTAAGTAACCTCGGCTAGCATCAGACTTGCAGTCCTCCTGCATCAGCCTTCCTTCCAGTACCTGGGATTACAGGCATGTGCCACTGGACCCGGCACCTTCTTTTGACTAAGCATTTGTGGGTTAAAACTTTGGATATTTTCCAGAATTCTGATGAAGTTGATGCTAATAGTCTTTGTTCTTGTTTTTGTCAGGTTTTTGTTTTTGTTTTTGTTTTTCTATTTCTATGAAGACACTGTTTGGACTTTTCTACTGGACTTTTTCACCTACAAAATTTGTATGGCCCATATCAAAGTGTATACAGTACTTTCGTTACACAGACTTTGCAAAATGTTTAAGTATTCTTACCAGTATTAATGTGAACAAGGACTGTACCTTAAAAATAATGGCATTTGCTCAGCTATGAAAATGTTCTTCATTTGTGCCTAGCATATTATCATATTTTAGTTACTTTGAATATTAGTCAGTTTTAGACTATGACTTACTTTTACATTAAAATGTGAGGGAAAAATTGATAGTTAAACTCCATGGTTCTGCAGAATGGATAAATAAGATGTATTTTTATACAGTGAGGTATTACTCAGCTATAAAAAACGATAAACTCCAGGCTTTGATAGGTAAATGGATGAAAGTGGATGATGCTCATAAGTGAAATAAGTTGCAGCCACATGTGCAGATGTTCTATTGTCTCGATAGTGTAAGAACCTGGAAGAGTAAGTAAAACCTAAAGTGTACAATAAATATTATGAAAGGGAAAGCAGTTGCTCAAAGGAAGGAACAACTGGGATAAGGGAAAGGAGAAAAAGAAATCAAGGAAGAAGGAAGGGAAAATATATAGAGAGATAACTGGTATAACTACTGCTGAAGTCTAATGGTTTGTAGAAAGGAACAGTTAATGCCTAATTTTTTTTTTCTTCTTGACCAATTTTGCATGCTTATATCTGATAATCTGAACAACTAATTTGAAGGCAACAGTACATAATATAACAACCATTGTTGAATTCCTACCATCTTTTTTAGTGAAAGCATCATTTCTAATGGTTTTGTTTGTTTTTATTTTTTATTCTCTTTAATGGTATGATCAATCTTGCATTCTTACATCTGGTAATCTGAGCAACTTCATTGAAGATAACAATATGTAATATAACAACTGCCCCGTTAATTCCTATCATTGTGGTCTGAAATCCTGTGTCATTTCTGTTGTTTTTGCTTTGTTTTGTTTTTGTCAGTGTTGTTGGTATTTTGCTATTGTTCTTTTTTTTTATTATTCTCTTTTTTTTGGTACCAGGAATTGAACTCAGGTCCTTGTGCTAGCCAGGCCACTAAGCTATATCCCCGCCTTTATTATTCTCTTTAAAATTTAAAAAAAAAAAAAAAGAAAGAAAAAAAACTCCACTGTTGTCACTAATAAGAATGAGTCTCAACTTGCAGTTACCAAATTGAGTTTCTAGATCTGAGGTGCCCTGGGCTGCCACGTGAAAATGAGGGGCTCACAACAGCGTATTTTAAGTGTTTGAGGAAGTACAGCATTACTGAGCGTTCTGTGGTTACCATCCAGACTACTAACTCAAAGTGGTTAGTTTCTTTTTTGTTTTAAACTGGGAGTCAAACTCAGGAC